AAAAAAAATTACACGCTTCTGAATTGCTGAAAACGGGTGCAATTCTCATGCAACACGAGTGCAAAGTTTTAACACGAGTGCAAAATAGCGCGGCGCACTGTCAAGACTTCGTCTGTCTTCACCTTCTCTGACGCTTTTTTCATGTAAATATTTAACAAGTAATAACATGATTTCGAGTGCAATTTGGTGTAAATAAGCACTTTTCAATTTTTTAAAGAATATAAATTGCACTCGCCCTACGAGCTTGTGCAATTTTGTTGTCTTCAAAAAAATTTATTCGTACTCGTTAATTCCAATTACATTCGAAATCCTGTCATTACCCATACAAAAGGGTAGGATGAAAATAACTTTTATCCTTTGTTTAAAATTACAATAAAAGAGTGAGCAACATTACAATTTAAGAGTAGGATTTAGCGGTGGAATTTCATTTTGATCGAAATATATTGAGATTCCGACGGATTAGATTCTGCCGTAGGAAAACGAATTGAACGATTTGTGGAAGGTAGGAGATCTGGGGAAGGTAGGGGCGAAATTATTTGACTGCAGGGGGCAAACTCACAAAGACGGTAAGGGGTGAACAATGAAGTGAAACATCCAGATACCCAGATGGACAAACATTTCTTAGACCCTTTTTTTTCTATCATCCGTGACAGATAAGTTGCAAATGGGTAATAGCTGGAGGTTTCCATTCTCTTAACATGATAACATACCCGTCGTCCACTGGTCCTACTGGTCGACATTTTCTTCACGGAGTCAAACGAAGACCTAGGAATTAAAGACATAAACATTATCTCTCAGGATATTTCATTGACCTCAGGGTCAGGGATGATGAATACTCTGTTGTTTATATACACTGTCAGGCAGAATTATTAAATAAACTTCCCATCCCTACAAGTTAATGTAACTTTCGTGTGTCTGTGCTGTTTTATAAGTAAAAATTGTTATTGATTGAAGTCGAATATTTTGAGAACAAGCGCAGAGTAAGTGCCTGTCGTAAAGACAAATTCATCTCTGTCTGAGTACGGCTTTGCTTTGCTGTGTCCGCTTCCGCTGTTTTAGGATTTCATGTTTTGTTGTCTGTGCTTGACTTTCTAAAAGGGTGAAAATTAATGGTTGTACTTAAGATGTGCGAGACAGTACAACTGAGTTTTGAACCGCTTGTAATCCAATATCTTTGTCGTTTGCAGAGATTTGAGGACAGAAAGTTAAGCAAAATGTCTAGGATCTTTGAGTATTGACCTTATTTCACCTTAATTATTCAAGGTTTCTCAGAAATCAAACTTGGGGGCCGTTAGTTTCAATCGTTGTTGTCTGTTGTTTACTTTCTATGTGGTTCTCGGAAAGCGAGATAGATGATAGATGAAAATTAAAGGTTTTCACCCAAACTTATAGGATTTTTGGAATCGCTAGAAAAATCTGGCGTCATTCATAGCGTTTCCAGAAATGTGAATATAACGAGATTTGTTTTAAAATTTAAGCGGCATGTCACGCATTGTTCATTGGTCTTCTTTACGCTTCATTATCTAAGGTTAAGAGTAGCATTTTTCTCAAAAATCAAGCTTTTAAACGATTTCAAACTTTTAGCGACTGCCGTAAAATTTAAGAAAATGGTTAAGGCAGCAAGCTTGGGATACGTCATGATCAGAATCACTTCATGAATTCATTTGTTATCCTTCTATATGCCTATCCATGCCGTTGATGAGAATGAGGGGATTATGTGTATGCGTTCACCCGCAAGACTGAATTCAGATTTGCTGCAAATGTGATCATGAAAATGTCTTTTCAAGACATTTCGTAAAGGTTGGGGAAAAGGACAGCGGCAAGGACTGACTCTTAGTCATTTGAAATTTTGACCGGCTGCGACATACTCATTGGGTCCTTAAGTCTGCGAAGAATCAAGGCAGAAAACAAGATAGTCATACCTAATGAATGAATTGCTCTCTAGCCTACTATTTAGTTGCTAATCATTGATAAGAAGGGAAACAAAAGAAGGAAAAACTTACGGATTCTCTCTCGAATTCCTTTACGTCGTAGGTGTTCAGCACTAGACAAGGATGAAACTCTTCCTTTCGCTTCTGTAATGGAAAAGAGCCTTGAAGCATCAGGTAAGACGTGACCGGCAATTTGCCCCAAGAAGCGGTGAGTAGAGAGACCCTGGGTCATACCGTGACGTCATAGTATTTATCGTATTACAGTATATGTAACTTGATTTGAGAACGATTAGTTGAGTTTGTGAACGTACTTGTTTTGGATATTCTTATGAGAACTAGAGCCACCGGAATATTGGTATATAAATTCATTTCATATTGTTTCTCTTTTGTATATTCTGTTACTTTTCGAAGTACATCAAATCAGCGTTTTGTGATTCATTTCAGTTGAACTTTTGCTTAATATGAAACCAAAGTGTTTAATGTAAATGAGCGCGACAACGAGCGTTTGAATTAGTTTGTCCAAAACGTTAACACTGTGAATGAGATTGAAAAGTTTTGATCATCGTCTTTTACTTGATTCTATGAACCACACATGTCACGCGACGAAGGCAGACGTAAAAGGATTTCAGAATGTAGGTCTGTTGTACTTAAATTCAAATTACCGGTTGACTGAAATTGGGAATAAAATCTCTTTGAGTCTAAGTTCATACCAGAACTCAAGTTATATTTGACTGGTCCTGAGATCAGCTGTAATTGACTAAGGCGATGAGTGCAAGGCAGCCAGCAGTCTTACCGTAAATATCTTGAACAAAAGCTCATCTTTCAAACCGGCAGTCTAAATCCCACAGGGATCAACGAACGCTTTTCATTCCACTAATTTATTCATGTTTGTCTCGTTGCCATGTTCCCANCATTGGAAGAAGACATTGTTCGCGCTCAATCGAAGTATCGAATATATTACAACTAGGGACGTAACCATTTGTTCGACTGGCTGTTCCCTAAGAAAGTTCCATTTGTAAGCCCGGTCCTATTGGCGTACAGGCTGGCTACCCAACTATGAACAGTACTAGTCGAAGAGGGCATTCTTAGAGCTAAGCTGGAGTATCAGTTACATTAGAACTGATACACGTTATTAAGCGTTTGAATACATCCAGGTGTACTTCAGGAAACATCTTTTCATTCATAACAATTAGTTAATATCATCACAGAGAATTATGGTCATTATCAGGGGAGGACGCATGCTCTAATTTCCCTATAATTCCTCTTTTGACAGATATCGACGGACCCTCCTCTTGGAAACCTCAAAGATTATGTTCTGAACAGACGATGTCAGCTTGGTGACATTGTTGTGTTCCTTTCACAAGTGGCCTCTGCCTTGCACTTTCTCCACGTAAATCACATCGTTCATGGAGATCTACGAGCCGAATATGTCAATGTTGTAGCACCGGACAAGGTAATTATAACATAACCAAAGTAAAGTGCGCGCTCTGATTGGTCAATTCAGCGTCCACCATTTGCCCATGGGTGTACGCTGCTGACGTGAGCAAATGCAAAGACTATTTTTCCGCGCGCGCTTGTTTTTTCTGGTCACGTAAGATTTTTTAAATTAAAGGGAACTCTTTAGCTACAATGTATCAATGTTATGTTATGAAACAAATGGTAAACACCACAGCGTACACTATTGAGTTATGGATGCACTTGGGAGGTTTACTAAACACTCAAGAAGCTAGAGTCGCTCTCGGCTATCGCCTCGAACGACTCTTACGCTTCCTTCGTGCTTAGTAACCTCCCGCGTGCATCCATAACTCAGTAGTGTACGCTCTGGTGTTTACCATTTGTTAATTGTGGTCTAGTGACTAAACATCTGCAATAACCAGGGTTTTAAGCTTTATCACTTGTTCTGATAATGTGCAAGTGATGCAGCCACAAACTGTCCAAATATTTAGGTAGAAATAGAACGAAAGTGACACCAGCCTTTTTAATTATGTGCAAGTTTGGTCCAGTTTGGTTTTGCTAAGTTATTGTTATTTTTTTTTTTATTTGTTTGTTTCTTTGATGTACAAGAGGGCGATGAACATTTTCATTTAATCCAGGGAATAAAGGGTCTGTAATTCTGTAATATATGTACTCTTCAGCTTTTGTCGCCTTGCATGATTTCTATTTACTTTGTTTTTTTTGTGTTTGTTTGTTCCTTTGTCGAGGGCATTATGGGATTTTCTTGATGCTGTCAAGTAATTAGGCTCAATTTCAAACACACTATCATTCTAAAGGACCTCCTGACTCTGATTTTGCGTTTCTCTTTTTCGTTTCATGTTTTACTTCGTTTTGTGTTTGGCTATACCCCCTTGTGTTGTACATGTTTTATTGTTCTTGTTGTTGTTGTTTATTCCATGTAAAACAGTGGGAATATTTTTTGTTGTTTTTTGAAAACAGCATATTTAGCTTAAGGTAGCATTGGGTGAATACTAGAACAAAAACTAATAGAATATAAGAACTAAAGAATGGTATTAATAAAAAATGTTTAAAGACTTTCTTTAAATTTGTTACTCACAAATTGACAGAGACTTCATGATCCATTGCAGGTTGAAGTAACCCGTTTTGGTCGCTCCTTGCTTTTACCAAAAAGGGCGAATGAAAGCACTTCTGCCTCATGTGTAGTTCAGCGTAATATGCCACCTGATGCAACGCGATGGTAAGTAGCTCACAACGAGACAACGGAATATGTACAAAGTATCAAGTCGTACTGCATTGAAAATAACAATTAAATTTTCAGACAGCGGTATTCATGAACTGTAGCGAACGCATCTAGGTGTTGGACTAAGTGATGTATGAGAAAGGGAATGAAAAGCATCCGCTATGAATTGTACTGCTGATGGAACATTAAATTCTTAATCACAGAGGTAACTTCATGCTTGAATACTCCGAATTTCTTCTTCTGCGCGTAGCTTTTATCTCAATAATAATTTCATGTCCATTTCATTTTGCAAGAGTTTGGCCTTCAGACATTCACAGAGTTGTTTGCGCGTCGGAATATTTAGAATTTTAATTGGAAATACAACCTACTTTGTTCCTTAGAATCGAAAAACAGACCGCATTCAATAAAACCCAGAACAAAGTTACTCGCATTATTTTTCGAACTCTTTACAATACAAAAGTCAATATGCTTTGTACCCAAGAATTGCAGGTACAAAGCAAAGTTTCGTCGATAAGTCTGAGCGTATTTTGCAGTTGCCACGCCAGAATATTACATACGCATTACTGAATGACAAAACATTCTTCATTTTCCAAAGCATCTCATTGAAATGGGAACAATTAAAACTTAAAACCCCGAAAAATTAAGCCTTTAAACACTTTAAAAACTGAATTGACTGCTGTGAAGTTCGCTTGTAAACCTGTTCTTTAACAACAAAATTAATTCACATTTCTGGTGAAACTTTGCACAAGACTTACATTGATAAGTTCCTGCTCCTTGTCTCCCGTTTTTGATTTAGTATCCAGCGAAGAAAGAGTCCGGTAACGAGAAAAATCGTCCACGAATTATCACTTGTACAGTTTTTTCTAATAACTCGGGCAACTGGCGTTTTATATCAGGGGGGCTCCCTGTTATAATCCAGGGTTCATTTGTCAATCATCGACAGCCATTACTAACATACCTCACCCCAGGCAACGTAGAATGCTAAGGTTTCAATAACCAGAATATAGAAATAAATGTCAGTCATGAAAAAATCAAGAGCTCAGTGCAAAAGTTTAAGTTTTGAATTTAAAGACCTAATCAATTCAAGCCAATTAATTTGTGGGTTTACTGTGCATGATTTTAGTAGCTTACTTCGTACGAGGAAAGTCATTTGAAAATCTGAAAGCCAGCGTTTTTGCTATCATTCTTATTTCGAGAGGTATTTTATCAACAGCGCGTTGACAGCTTCATCTCAATTGACACCTGCTCTCTTTACTTCAACAGGAGCGCACCTGAGGTGATCCAAGACAATAACTATTCTCATGCTAGTGATGTTTGGGCTTTTGCGGTCCTAGCTTGGGAACTGTACACTGCCTTTGCAACAGGCCAGGAGCATAGGGACTACTCGATCCCTTATCGTAGCCATGCTGCTGAAGAGGTTTGTTCGTTGAAAAAGTTACGTTTGGACGTAATAATGACAATAATAAAAATAGCTACCTATGATGCACGATCCTCGCAGTAAAGAGCTCTATTTATGCAATAGCGAAAAATATATGAACTTCATAGATTCATAGTAAATAAAAATATCATTAATGATAATAACAATCGTCTTTATTGAGTCCTAAGATGAAAAACCACATATCTGATGTTACCAAAAAAATTTCCGAAAAAAAAATACCACTTACTCTGTTAGGTTATGATAAAAATGTAGTTGATAAAATAGGAAGGAAGTGCAAATTGGATTGTCACTTAGCTACTTGATTCACTCAATTTGCTCTCAATTTATTAGTATCGAAATCTAGTTGTCTTCTAATTTTTGTTACGTCATGGGTCCTAAAAAAAGTAAAATGGCAATTTGGATCATTGGGACTTAGGCCACGATTCTACGATTAGGAATAACGGAGGAAGGGGTGAGAAAAGAGACTTGGGCCAACCATGAATTGGAATGCGATTATAATCCTCCCCCCTCCCTTAGATGCAACAGATCTCGATTTAATGAATAACAATATAACAACGAATGAAAACCCGATTAAAACAGAAGTAGCGTTTAAAGAGGAATTTCAACCTTAACTCGAATTGAATACCTTGAGAATAAGGTTTTGATTCCCTTAAATCTAATTGAGTGATCTTCTTATTAGGTTATTCATCAAATTAGAAACGTTGGGCCTCTATCACGACCAGACGGCTGCCCTGATTGGGTGTATATTGTGATGCATCAGTGCTGGGCATTCGACCCAGTACAGAGGCCTCCGTTCATCGCCATCTTTGATTGTCTCACTACAAGGTGAGTACACAATAATGCACTAATTTTGTAAATCAGAATGATTCTTTGAGAACGGTAAACTGTACCCAACTGTGTCCATAAGTTGAACTTGCGAGAGCCCAGGGAGACTTTTTGTGAGGATGCGAGCAAGGCATGGCTCGGTAAAAGACTCGGACTAAAGTAATCAAGCGATTTTCCGACCTCATTTTACGCCAAACTAACTCAAAGAACGAAGAAAACCGATGACAACAGAAAAACATCAACATTCAATTTAGGAATTATGCTGTATTGCTTTGTGGATTTTCCGGAACTGAGAACAAGTTTCTCATATTTTAAATTTTATTTAGACCTAAAAGAACTCAAAAGGCATACCATTTGGCAATACTAGAGAGTTTTCACTGAAAAGTGGGTCCGACCCTCCACGATTCTTAACCACTCGTAATCAAATATCTCGTCTCTCATAGACAACCAATGGACTCTTGGCTTATGTCATTGTGGAAAGAGCGCCACGAAAAGAGCGAATGGCCTGACCTACCAATTACTCAGACTGAAAACGCCTGTCACATCATCAACAAAGACAAAGACTGTATTAAGGACATCATAGAGCAGATGTGTAACGATGGTTAAAAGCTTTCAGAACACGATTAGAGTTATGTTCTCGAAAATGCCACAAATCGAGTGGACGATGAACTGTATGATGATCTACCTGAAGAGTGCTCCAAACTCTCTCCAGATGTGATAGAGCAGGAGACGTATGAAGACGTTTCCTCGATCAGTCGACCTGACTGTACTTTTGACGAAAAAAGAGTAGGGAGACCGACAGGCTCCAACATTTCTTCCACTGAGCCTCGATACCAAAATGTAAAGAATTTCGGCCCCAAGAACATTACGGGTCATAAACAAGAACAGGAGCTCTACGATGACCTCGTTTCCCCGGAGGTAGTAGAGGTGGCACAAGAAGAGGAAGAAACGTACGATGACATCAGAGGTGAAGAAGAGGCGGGCGAAGAATTCTATGGTGATATTGAAGAACGATCTCGCGATCCTCGCTACGGAGCGAGCAGAGATAAGCCTTCTTCAAAAGGGACTAACTCCCCTTTGAACACCAAGAGTCAAGAACCTTCTTTGGGAGAGGACAATTACTCATTGGACAAAGAAACGGACCAAATAGATTTAGAGGATTTATACGAGGACATCGACAATCTCAGGCCACCACCGTATGCAAAGGCTTGTAATGTGACAGAGGAAGAAAATGTTGACTCACTAAACGCCAGCTGCGATCCCCTAGGGGGTGTTCCCCGCTTGAACGAGGACGAAACCCTCTATGAGGAAATAAGAGGAAATCAATCAACAGATTCGGGGGCGTACCAAAGTACTACAGGTCCCCAAAATGATCAAGCCACAAGGAACCGAGATGAAACAGGATATGGAGAACTTAACTCAAGAGAGTCGTACATGCATCTGACAGGACCCAAAGCAAATTCCAACTCAAAGGAAACCGGTCCGGTAATGAAAAACGCTGCAAAGCTAAACAACCGCAGGTGCTACCTCAAGAAAAAGGAAACAGTTAATGATCAGCTTGTCAATACAATTAAGGAACCTTAACATTATGGAATCAAACATTGAGTTTTTTTCAAAATGAATGACGCGCTAAAGGTGCACATGATTAACAATCGTACTTAAAAATGTAAGTCGGGTGCAAGGAAAGAAAGGCAGGTGAGCTGCTAGTGAAGAAATGTCAGTAACGAAGCCTGATAAATTCAGTTTCACCAGAGTTCGAACCCGTCCTTTTAGTTAGTCGTTGCTTCCTCCAACTGAGCCACGGAACCACACGTTGGGAAGGAGGCAAAGTTTAAAAGGTTTATCTTCCCCCTAAGGGAATTTGATCACAATTAAAACAAATAATTATTTTATTTTATATTTTATCAATATCTATTTCTGTCATGTAATTTTGAAAGATAGGTCGGAAAAGACAAGTTCTGGTTGCCTAGCAACTATATTTACAATTTTGAGTCCAGAAACGCCAGAGTTTCTTTTAGTCTTGTAAATAGTTCCTTTTTTAACGAGAAAGCGTGAGAAATCAATATTTTTGCATTTTTTCTACGATATCAACGAAAACAAAAAAACAATTTTCTTCGCTTATTACATGATGGAAAAAATCTTCAATTGCAGTTATCAATTAATGGAATAGACAATTACTAAAGACATTGATGTAATCAATTCTCCCCCTTTATGCAAACCAATTGTTTTGAAATGAAATTCAACTGTCAACCCTTCAACTCCAAGAAGTGATTAAATAAGTAACTTCTCCAAACATTTTCAACACATTTCTCAGCAAACAGTTGATGAGAACGTAAAAACATATCTGCATTAGGACGTTATCTAGATAAAACACCAAATTATCCTCACTAATTTTTAAAGATATGCATAGCAGCTCATAGGGAGAATTCAGTGCTAATCATATTATGGAAGTAAAAGGGTTAACTGAAAGAAATGTGTAAACATAAGCTTCTGCTGTGCAGGTGTCTCAGTTTGGAGACAGTGTGGCCGAGTGGTTAGAGTGTCGGACTCGTAATCCGCCGCTCCCGGGTTCGAGTCCCACCCTGACCACTGGATTTGTTTCACGGTAGCCCCGAGTTCAGATCCTTGGTCACGCTTGTAAATAGCCAACTGGTTTGCCTCCGGTCGGTTGGGATTCTTAATGATGTTCTTAATGATGTTATGTTCAATTTAGACCATTTGTTTCATTTGTTTGCACGGACCACAATGGAAACTACTGGTTCACCAGTAATTGTATAATCCTATTAAAAGACTTTCTTTTTTTTCTTTTTTTTTTTTTTCAATAGTCATAATCGCCAACAAACTCATCGAGAATTCATTTACTGGCGACTGTCATATTATGTTAACTACTGACTGATTAGCAAATGATCGATCACAAGAACAAGTGGGATGTGGTATATATTTTTGTACTGAATCCACTTTTTAGTTACTTCATCAATACCTCCCAAAAATAAGTTAATCAAGTCATTAAGTTCAAATAAAGTTAAGGCTGTCAAAATGTAAACACCTTTATTTGACACAATGTAAAGGCAACTCAACAATTGCTCTGAAAACTTTTAACAGTTGCTGGCTAAAATGTTAACTGGAGTGTCTCCTTTCTCGAACAGATTTAAATGATATATATATCAAAATGAATCAAAACTAAACTAAAATGATTTCTGTAGTTACAATGCTTAAAACGGAAACAGCGAGATGGAGTTTTCATCTATTTCCAGGATCCGTTGATAGAAGCTTACAAACAATTGTTTATTTGTTAAGCTTTAAGCAGTGATAATGAGAACGTTGGTGTCTCTTGCTGTATGATAGAACGCTTTACAATGTTATGAACCTTCATAATATTGGGTGTTTTTAGTTCAGTACCTCGATCATTTACACTAGCGCAGTTTGTTCACAACGGTTTCAGACTGCTCCTGCCATTTGTACTTCCGATCATAATATGTCCGCAGAGCGTCAGCTTCCTCTAGTCGTACCTCTCTTGATTTCTTTCTGGCCCGCTTGATGGCTCTTCCCCATTCATTGGGATCGTCGGAATCCACCACAAAAGACATTCCAAAAGGAATCCTTTCTAGAGCTTTTCCAAATCCACTGTTATCACTCACCAGGATCGGAAGCCCGGCAGAGAGGGCTTCGAGGGCTGTAAGGCCGAACCCTTCTGTTCGCGATGGCATTATAGCCAGATCAGCTTCACAGAAAAGACTGGCCAGACTTTCACGGCTTTCTCGATAACTGCGCACTATCAGCTGCTTAGGGGAGATTCCACATTCAAGTAAGTTCCTTTTTACTTCTTCTTGTTCTCCTTCCGGTGCACCAACGAACACAAGACGATAGGAAGGGTCGTTCAAGCCTGCTACAGCGCGAGCGGCAAGGTCGTACCCTTTCAGTTCAAAATCTTCCTCGTTACCACGACCAAATACCAAGATACCAAAGTTTTCTCTTTCTTCACTAGCTTGCTCTAGTTCGGAGAACTCTGGAAAAATGCCTGGCGTAAATTCAATCACGTCTTTATCCTTCTTGTGTGGTCGAAGGCTGCTTTTTATGGACTCGGTGAGTTTGGGTCCTATACCCACAATAACATCAGCAGTCTTGCTCAGATCTACCTCGAGTTCGTGCTTCTTTTCGCCGTCCTTCATCTCATGCCGACCTTTCTTGAATATCGCAATCTCTTCACTTGAGGTGTGCCCCACTGCAAAAATTAATGCAGTGAAAATGGAGTAAAGTAAATCAAAATTAGTAAATTAAATTAAATCTGGATATATATTAAATCTTCAAATTCCAGAAGTGATTAACAGATAGCTTCTCCTCGCGGCTTTGACACATTGTTCAGCAAACTGGTGATGAAATTAGGGAGACGTATTAGCCCTAGGAAACAAACTGGATGAAACATCGATTTATCTGTCCTAATTTTCAAAGAAATGTATGGTGGCTGGTAGGGGGAATTCCCTGCTAGGCAGAACCTGGGAGTAAATGGGTTCGCAGAAAGAACCATGAAGATATACGCGTCCGCTGTGCTGGTTAATCAGGCTCAAGTGCGAGCAAACTTTTCCTTAAAGGAGAACTGAAGCCTAAAAATGAACCATTTTTAAATTGCAGCTTATAGTTCAAATAGCAATGTTCGAGGGTTTTTTCAGTCTTTGGGCCCAAGTTCGTCTCGGAAAAATAGTTTAAAGTGTTATTTTTGCCTCGTAGTACGGCGGCTCAGAAAAGCGATGTCAGCGGTCATTTTAGCTCGCTCTTACGTCACTGGTGGGGAAGAAAGATAATAAACCCGTACTCTTCCTTCAGAAATCTGGTTTAGTTATGGAGTTATCGAAGTTGCGTGACTTGTAATGGGGATTAACTACGAAAATTAATAATAACAGTTGCTTTTCTTAAGTTGGTTCCCACCACTGACGTCATAAACGACCGCTGCTGACCAATTTTGAGCCGACGGTCTTACGGCCCCAAAAGCGGGAAAAAGGCAATTTCAATTCGAATTTTCTCATAAAAAATAAGAAGTGAACGAAAATGAATATCCGCGACACTATATCTTACTCCTCTAAAAGCTAACTAGAAATGAATGCAAATATACCAATTTTAGGCTTCAGTTCCCCTTTAATTACCTACCAAGAGACTGCCACAAATATCAACTACTGTCAGATAAATCTATAGCTAAGTAGGTAAATCTATAGAATCTTTAAATTCCGTCAGTATCAATTTCATTATTTAGTGAGTTTTGTTTACTAGATCAAGCCTTTCCACAAGACGTCAATTAAAAATGCCTAAGTTAAGTCACAGCTGTAACAATGTAATAGACCTTAATTTTCCACACACTACAAAACAGAGCTTAAACCAAAATAGCTCCAACTACTCACAACTGACGAATGCTTGTAAAAACTGTTGTCTGTAGAGTCCTCTATGTTTTACAGCCAGATTTCACCGATGTACATATATCGAAAGTAAACAAAGCTAAAACCCAATTGAAGTAATTCGAAAGTAGGGTGGAGATACGAAAACACATCTTTGGTCCCGTAGAACAGCAAGCGAATGATTGCTCGAAGTTCACTTCAAAGTTAACTAATGTCAACAATATCGTGTTTCCGTAATGTTCAATGAAAGTGTTTAAATTGATATGGATCTTCTTAAAAGTTGGGTTCTTTTTAGTTTAGGCAGTACATCATTTTCACTCTCGTAATTTTCGTACAATTGCTTCGCACTGTTCTTGCCATTTGTATTTCTCATCATAATACTTCCGTAGATTAATAGCCTCCTGAAGTCGCACATTCCTTGATTTTCTTCTGGCCTGCTTGATGGCTTCTTTCCATTTATCGGGGTCATCAGAGTCCACCACGAAAGAGTTTCCAAGCGGAAGCTCTTCGAGAGCTTGGCCAAATCCACTGTTAGCACTCACGAGGATTGGGAGGCCAGCTGAGAGGGCTTCAAGGGCAGTAAGGCCGAACCCTTCCGTTCTCGAAGGCATAATTGCCAAATCTGCCTCAACAAAAAGATCGGCCAGCTCTTCGCGGTTTTCGCAAAAGCTGCGTACTTTCAGCTGTCTGCGAGGGATGCCACATTTAGTTAAGCTTACTTTTACTTTTTCTTGCTCCCCTTCTGGCGCACCAACGAACAAAAGGTCATAGAGACAGTCTCCCAAGGCTGCTATGGCCTGTGCGGCAACATCGTACCCTTTGACTTCAAAATCTTCTTCGTCAGCGCGACCAAATAATAAGATAGAGAAGGTTTTTCTATCTTCCCTGGCTTGCTTTAGTTTAGAGAACTCTGTAAAAATACCAGGTGTGAAGTTAATTACGTCTTCATCTCTATGCTCCGTTCGGAGGCTTCGTTTGATAGACTCAGTGAGTTTTGGTCCAATACCCACGATGACATCAGCCGTTTTGCTCAGTTTTACCTCAATTTGGTGCTTTTTCTCACCAGCTGAAATCGGTGCTTTCTGCTTTTTCTTAAACATTGCTAGTTCCTCACTTGAAGTATGCACAACATGAACGCGTTTGCATCGCCGCTGTCTCGCCACGGCAAACGCTGGTGGCCCCAGCTTCTGTCCATGACCCACCACAGCGTCAATTTTACAGTCGTCAGGTGGAAATGACAATAAGGAGATGCGGTGAAATCCAGGTATCTCTTCGACCTTAACAAGGTTTACGTTACCTTTTAATGCTTCATTCTTTTCCTCCTCGGTGAATTGTAGCACAACTAGGGTCACCGATACATTAGGCTGTTGAGCCAGCCCTTTGCACATCTCTCTGTTTAGAGTGGATAATCCACCTTTTGATGAGCCCCACTCATCCACCAAAGGAGAAATTCTCAAAACCTATTGCAAATGAACATAGTGAGATAAGATGAATTTTACTTTTCGTTTTTTAATCAAAATTTGATAAATCATGAATAACTATCCACAGAAGCGGAATTAGCTGGTGGTGGATATTTACCAAGCCACGAGGTGGCGAGGAAATATGCACTACTTTCACCGACTCAGAGGTGAAAAATTGTTTTAGTACATACCACACAGATGACAAAAACTAGTTTATTTGTTTCAATATACCGAAACATGGTCGCAAATTAAACTCTGGACGAGCAATTTTGTCTTATCGCTTCCCAGAGGTAAATAGTAGTCCCTCTCCACTTCCGCCGGAACTACCCAATCAGCGTGCGCGAAAAGCACTGTTCACTTGTGTGGTATATACTAACGAAGGATATCCAGAGAATGAATATCCAATTAGAGCGCGCCTTCAATGCTATCCACGGCCTTAATACATTGTAATATATAAAGGTTATTCATTTTCAAGCCTCAACACATTAATTGCGCTTAGCCCAATGATAATGCTGTTAGATGATAAGCTTTATAAATAATTACTCTATCGTCATGGCGAAACTTGTACACAGATGAATGAGCACTTCTTTGTCACTCTTTATATCGTCTGGCATAAATAAGTTTTAATCCGTGATAGCCAAAGTCTTCAATTCTATTAACACGATTACCTACCTCTAGTTCGCTGGTCTCAGCCGAAATATCATTCATTTCCTTTGAAGAGTCAACAAAAGCCCTAAAAATCAAAATAAAAACACATTAACACAATCTTTCAAGATATTTTTATTGACCTCAGGGTCAGAGAATTGTTTATATACATTCTCGGGCAGAATTTAAACTAAAATTTCCATCCCTGTTTAGAGATGCAACTTTAATGCGTCTCTATTGTTTTTTAGAGACGCAGTGTAATTGATTGAAGCCAATTTATTTTTTTTTTGGGGGGGGTAAGTGCAGAGTAAGTGCAACTCGTCAAGTCAATTTTATTGCTGTCTGAGTATGGCTTTGCTCCGCTTTGTTCCGCTGTTTTAAGATTTCAATCTTTGTTTTCTGTGGTTGACTTTCTAAATGTGTGAAAATTAATGGTTGTACCTGAGTTGTATGAGAAAGTACAACTGATTTTTTAACCGCTCGTATTCCGACATTGTTGTCGTTTGCAGAGATTTAAGTACAGAAATGTAAGCAAAATGTTATTTTTGATATTTGAGTACTGACCTTATTTCAGCTTAATCATTCAAGGTTTCTAAGAAATCAAACTTGGGGGCCGTCAATCTCAAACTTTGTTGTCTGTTTTTTAATTGCTATGTGGTTCTCGGAAAGTGAGACTGACGATAGATGAAAATTAAAGGTTTTTACCTAAAATTGTATGAAATAGTACACATGATTTTTGGAATCGCTAGAAAATCTGACATCATTCATAGTTTTTCCAGAGATTTGAATATTACAAGCTTTGTTTCAGAAATTTAAGTAGTATGTCACGGATCGATTACTGATCTTCTTTATGCTTCATTGTTTTTCCAGAGATTTGAATATTACAAGCTTTGTTTCAGAAATTTAAGTAGTATGTCACGGATCGATTACTGATCTTCTTTATGCTTCATTATCCGAGGTTAAGAGAAACATTTTCCCTTAGAAATCAAGTTTTAAACGATATTAAACTTTAATGGATAAGGCAACAAGCTTAGGATACGTCACGAACAGAATAACTTAACGAATCCGTTTGTTATCCTTCTATATGTCCATTTATGCCAATAATCGACTAAATAAAAATGTGGCTTGTAGGATATTATATATCCGCGTTCACCAGTAAAACTGAATTCAACCTTGTTGTATGTGTGATCATAAGAATATCCTTTCAAAACATTTTGTAAAGGTTGGGGAAAAGGAAAGCGGCGAGGACTGACTCTTAGTCTTTTGTAATTTTGATCGACTTCATCTTCTCTATTTGGTCCTCAGTCTGCAAAGTATCAAGTCAGAAACCTAAGGCTATCGTACCTAAAATATGATTTGATCTCTAGGCGAGATTTGAGTTGCTTATCATTGATAAGAGGAGAAACGAAAGAGGAAAAGAAAATTAAGGACAAAAAGACAGAGTTTGTTTGTTTGGTAACGCATACCTGCAAAAATTTAAGTTACATGTCACGGATCTTTGAGTATTGACCTTATTTCCGCTTCATTATTCGAGGTTTCTTAGAAATAAAGCTTGGGGGCCCATTAGTTTCAAACTTTTGGTATACAAAATGGTTAAGACAGCAAGCTCAAGATACGTCCTAATCAGAATTGCTATGAATTCATTTGTTACTCTTCTATTCATCGAGTGGATCAAAATATAAGTCCTGTCTTAGTGGCATACAAGAGTTTATCCATGCACGTTCGCCTATGAAATTGAATTAGACCTGATGTATATGTGAACATAATGATATTTTTTGAAGACATATCGTACAGATTGAGGAAAAGGAAGCGGCGAGAAGTGACTCTTTGTCCTATGATCGTTTTGTTGACTTCATCTTCCCATTAGGTCCTTCAGTTTGCGAAGAATCAAGACTGAAGCTTAAGGCTGTCATACTTAATGCATGAATCGCTCTAGGCGAGATTTAAGTTGCTGATCATTGACAAAAGCAAAAACGAAAGAAGGAAAGGAGGAACTTACGGATTCTCTTTCGAATTCCTTAACATCGTAGGCGTTCAGCACAGATGAAAGATGAAACTTTTCCTTTCGCTTCTGCAGCGGTGGACAATATTGCGTAGCGAAGCGCCAATAACAGCGTGACCAACTAACCATCTATGGACTGATGAGTCACGATGAATTGCGTCGGCAACTACGACAATAGGTACCCCCAGGGTTGGAAAGAAGAGAGACCTTGGTGACGAGATTGGAACATTTGGAGCGTCGTCAGTTTACATGTTGAGGTGTATGAGGCCGTTCAGCACAGAACAAAAATGAAACTTTTCATTTCGCTTCTGCAATGGCAGATATATTCCATGGCGAAGCGCCAAGAACCGGGCACGTGACCAACAAGCCATGTATGTATTGGCTGCTTCGTTACGGATGATTTGTGTCGGTAGCTTCAACAAAGGGTACCCCCCCCGGAAGTTGGAAAGAAGAGAGACTCTGGTGAAAAGATTAGGACGTTTACTTATCAAAGTGTATGTAGCAATTCAAACCTAACTTGCCACGTGATAAAGGCAGATGCACAAGAAACTCAGAATATGTTGGCTGGAATTTGGAAAGAAATCTCTTTGAGTCCAAGTTTATTATACCTGAACTCAATTTTTTTCTGACCGATCCTGAGGTCAGCTACAAACTACGGCAGCCAGTAGTCCAGCCTTGCGGTAAATAGCTTTTGTTCACCGACACAAACTGTTCAAGAGCTGGATTGCTTTCTCTTACTTTCCGAGGGAGACTGGGGGAAAGTAAGCTGATTTCAAGCGGCGTACAGAAAGTGAATCATTGATTTATGTCATGAAAGTAGATATCATTCTATACAAATATTTGAAGCAAGTATAAAAATTCATAATGGTGTAGCTGTTAAATCTCTCGCTTCCATATATTCCTTTTCTTTTTTTTCATTTTTTCCCTTTTGTTTTGGATAAGTTACTTTCTGAAGTGGATGTTTGGCTGAAATAGGTAGGAAGAAAACGGAAGACATGTTTGAAGCTAGAATATCCGCGATGCGTTAGCTTACCGTTGCACATCACGCTAAACAACTTTTGAGCAGTCAAGAGTTCAAGATGAGCACAAACAAATAACAGCAACATAGTTCTAAAAACCAAACAAGCAAACAAAAACAAAACAGAAATGGAAAACGCTGAGAATAACAGGAAAGAACGAACCAGCAAAATGCGACTTTTCAGAAATCTGCGGACTCGTGTGAAAGGAGGGACACAACAGCTGAGCAAATTATTAAGTTTTTCGCTGGCTTTTCTCTTTGATGTAATTTAAGGCAATAAATATTTACAACAATGTGTCATTATATTACATCTTTAGTTGGACAGTAAATTTACTATACCTTTCATTTAATATATAATCACCTTTATATCTTTATAGTATATCTTCAACTATTTATATCATGGGTTTAAAAATTCAAGATAAATAATTATTAGACGATGAAAACAAAAATAAATATATAAATAATTAGAAAAGGAAGAAGACAGACACCTCGACTCTAAACGAAAATTCGACAGTCTTAACTGAAAACTGAAACAACTTGGTGCGTCCTATGGGAAAGTATCATATCAACGTCGTGACATCGATCGAGAGACGTACATTGTAAGCATGTTTCACGCCAGCGACTTGGAGACAAGACGCCATGAAGAGGTCTAGCATAACCATGCTTAACTATTTGTACTAATAGTTAAGCATGGGTTAACTATTAGTAAGTTTTTCAAATAGTCTCAGTTCCTCATTTGTTCATAATACTATAACCCTTCACCATGAAAGGAAATGTTATTGCACTAGAAATAAAACAAAAAAATACAACAAGCGCAAGAGAATTTACATGATTATTTGCCTTTTGGCGTTGAAATACTTGACGAATTTGAAAGAAAGAAAAAAATATGTTTTGGCTGAGGATAGATTTTCCTATGATGCTACTCTTTCTCAATCGCGCAGTTGCATAACGCATTAATCTTAAACTATTCACAAGTAACTTCTCCTCACAGTAGAAAGAAACGATCTAGCTAACAGGTGATGAAAAGCGAAATCCTTGTTAGCTGGAGGGTGTTACCTTGCTTAGACACCAAACTGTCTTAGAGAATTTACAATAAGCAGCAGCTAGACGGGATAATTACCAATGAGATTGTGAGAGTTTAAGGGTGAAAGTCAGCAGAGTCTCTTCAACGGTACAACGAAACTTTAGGAAAATTACTCTTCATGTCTAATTTAGGAGCATTCCCATTAATAACACTAGACAATTGTATAAATACTTAATTAAGATCACCGATACGTTCGCTTCCCAGTAACGTGTGAAAGAGTTTCGTTGCGAGACCTGCGCCATTCAGAAAATCCCCGTGCTTCCATCTGCGTTACCCAAAAAGGGCTTTTCTAAGTTTGTACATGATGTTGACATATCTACATATCTAACATGTAGGTTGCTCAAACGAAGTATCAACCGTCCCCTTGCTTCAAATCTGTTTGTGTGAAGTCGTGGACCTCTGGGGCCAAGAGTGACCATCATTACTCGGCCCCTACCTATAACTGCTCCTGTGCCAGCTGAGAGGTTCTGTAATGCTTAGCCATTCTTGCTGTCAAAGCTTGTTGTGACGTCAGGTCTGGTGTTCTACGTATTATGTTCGCATGCCTGGGAAGGAGCAAGAAAATATTGCAAAACCTGGACTCCAAAAGGATACCCTACTACACGTTATTCGTGCTACTTTGGTAAAGACCCCTAAAAATTCACGCCATGAAATGCTTCCTGATGCTTATTAGAGAGCCTAACTAGTAAAGACATTTTTTAAGACGCGAACGATGCCAAGAATAATGCAACCGCGTTTGTTGCGCGTTTGTTGCGCGTTTGTTGCGCGTTTGTTGCACGTTTGTTGCACATTTGTTGCCCGTTTGTTGAACCTTTGTATCACCCAATCACCAGAAAAGCCCTTTTTAAGTGTTTGTAACTAAAAAGGTGAAGGAAAAAGATATAGTAAACGCCAGGCATAAGACCCCTTAACTTCCGGCAGCCAGTCCCGTTTAAAATTTGGATTTGTCGGGTTTCAATAACATTCGTTTGCAAGTTGCAGAGTTTTTTCCAAAGTGTTTTATGGTCCGTCCAACTAACAATGTGTGCTAATTTTTAAAATGTTACGAAATTTCGAAGACAATCAACGATATTCCCAACACGCTCTCCTATGGTTTCTCTTGATTTCGCTATTCAACAGAGAATTATGTTTGTTACACACAATTTCCTGTACTTCCATTAAATTAAAAAACTTACCTCTTGTCAGAATCTTGAAGTGTCGTCCCTTGAGAGACATTTGAAGCAGCGCCTGCAGCTTTACCATCAGCGGCAAACTGATACACAATGAGCAAGCAGTCTCGACAAAGCTGGACAATCCGACGCCAGCAGTTCATCTCAGTCTAGAAGAGGACCAAAACAAATCGATTAACAAACCAATAAACACTCGTCCCCTCTACCATCTTCGAAAATTACCCGAGCACGACAGAGTTGCAATGAATCATTACTATGAAGAGTCTCCTACAGTTACTTCCTTTTGCGTAACTATTTTGTAATCAAATTTATTGGAATTCTTTCTTTTTATCATATTTACAGCAGCTCGTACAAGTCTACATTTGAAACCCAAAATCAAACGAGGCATCATATTTCGCTCCTTGGTGGATCGATTAAATACTTCCATCTGGGAGCAAAGTTCTCTATTCATACAATCCAAAATTTTAATGTATATTTCAATCAGTTACGGATAATTTTATATTTATAATCTCAAGTCTTACGATCTACTTACCGAAGATAGCACCTCTGTACTCTTGCTGAATATTGTCTCCCACGAATTTCTACAGATGACAAAAAAAAAAAAAATAACAAAAATAACAAAAATGAAAGGTTTTGGTTACGCAAAATGTAAACCCTAATAAGGCTAGGCATGACACTGATGGTAAAGATGCAAGACAAACGTACCCCAAGTTTGAAAAGCAGTTCCACAATCCCTGTCCATGACTCCATAACAATCTGTTAAATACTCTCGAGAAAACGCGGTAAAGTCGCAAGTTATCAACTTCAGATGCTCGCCAAACGCGTTGTAAAATGGCGCGAACATTTGTTCGAACAATGTCCACAACCTGCGGAAAAAAAAAACACAATAAAGGAAAGAAATGAAAGACAAGACAATAAACAGTTAGATTATGAGTTTGAGATTTCAGTCGCGTGATAGTACTTAACGTTCCAGAGCCCAAATCAAACATCATGTATAGAAATAACTTTTTACCTTTCTCCGCTTTATCGAGTCAAGCTTAACCAACCAATACGAGGCCACTCTCGGCTTGTGAAATTTCCAGTTATCCTGGATCTAAAAATAAATGAAAAAAATGGAATTTAAAACAAGCAGAAGGCATTTGGTTATAAGGTAGATTTTTGTTTTGGGTCGAATGAGCACGTAATTGTGCTTTGGTCGTCACTGGGGATGTACATGTAGCTTGGTAACGTACTCGTCCCCAGTTTTTCCTAATGAGAATCACGTGTCAGCGATCAAGCAAGGGTTCGGTTCACACAGGTTATAGAGAAACAGAAGCAAAAGGAGAGGAAAATTAAAACAATTTCATGGCTGAATCTCCAATATACAAGTTAACAACTTACGCTTTCTAAAATAACTTCTGCTTCCTCGTCTGTTTTCCCTGGAAATTTAATTCTCATGTCAAGCAAAGCTTGCAGTGTTCGCCGGCATAATTCTTCTTCTCTCTCCCGGACAGCGGCATCCAAGAAGGCAGCATCCTGGGTAAAAAGGAGTGATAATGTTGTTACCTCTTTTGGCCTCTTTTTCAAAACGAGGCCTGTTGCTCAACCATTCTTGTGAAAATAAGTTTAATTTGCATGCGAATAAAAACGTATTTTCGTAGGAAAGGATGAGCTTCAGGATTCGCCTTCAAAAAGAGGTTAAAGGTAATTTGGAAATGGGCTAACTCATTGCCTCCAAACTTTGGCGACCCACGAGACAAAAACAAGTTTTTGTAGCAAATAATTTAGTTTGCATTAAGAACTTCATTCACTGCTTTCAACAGCAGTTCTATTAAAACTACCCTCAACTCGTTAAAAGTAAAACCTAGCTCGGGCCAAGAATATACAAATGTAAATACTCACCACCACAGGGTTAAATTTCATTGGTGGAGATGAAGATGACGTCACGATTCTATGCGTGGAGGAGCGTGTTAATATCAGGCCATTATTGGCAGAGTTTGGCGCCTTGTGGGCAGAAACGGGTCTGAAAGATGACGAGTGGGACGGTGTCGAGGTCTGATCTGGGTTTGAGGAAACTGTGGAGGACAAAGTTGACGTGTCTTCTTTGTTGGCGGTGGATTTAGCACTCGGCATGGATGACAAAGGCTAAATAAATAAATAAATAAATAACTAAATAAATAAATTATATAGAAACAAATGATATATTAATAGACGAACGGGCTTTCTTGCCTAACCAATGTTCAATGTGAAGGGAAGGGAAGCAAGTTTGTAAAACCTCCATGTTAGCACAAAGACTTAAGAGTAAGTTAAATAATCACAAAGACAGTAATTACGTTTCATTTCGTGAGTGTGAATTGTGGGTTTACTTGAGTTTATTCAAAGAAGAAGATGAAGGCAAACAAGGCAAGAGTTCGGGAAGGAGGAGAAAGGAAACTGCAGTGGGGGGGGGGGGGGGGGGCAATGTAGGATCGTGTATCTAGTGATGAAGGACAATTAAAAAAAAAGTTTAGAGAAAGGGTGCACCACCTTGCCTGAGGTCAAGAGCACGGCACAAGACAGGATTGGATTGGGAGGGAGCTAACATTGATAAGCCAGGAAAGAACAAAGTGCTGAGAAAATAACTAATTTCTATTACCTTTGGTCCTTTACTCATCGGGCGGTTGCCAGATTTGTCCAATGTTACGTTTTCGTCACATTCACATTGCTCTAGTAAATCGAGGATTTCTTCTTCCTGCAAGTCATTTAAGTTATGCAGCGTTGTTCAAACAGCGATGGTGCTGAGATAGCCTTTGTTAATTGTGTTAAATGAGGTTCAAACTGACGCTTTGAAAACTTATAAATGCATCATAAATACCCCAGTTTAAATATCATCCCGTTATCACGAACGAAATTAGAGTTTCTCAAAAAGTAAAAACCCGAGTAATCTGCGTATTTAATATCCTCATTAAACGGACCAAGCTGTTAATCGACGTCAACCAACGCTGGTGGCAAAACAGAATGCCATTTTTGTAAAACAGACATAACAAATCTCAGCCTGACGAGTCTGATCTCGAATACAAGCTCTACATTCGAGATCAAAGGAGAAGCCCAGTCACTAAGCTGCGGATACAAGGAACACGCTGACCAACGACTGCCTCACACCTACCCTGAGGGTACTGAATGGTTGGTTGCCGTCCTTTTGAAGTGATGCAGCTCTCCCTACATGTAAAATCATACAATTAGAAAAACATTTCCAGACATCAGAAAAAAGGCTAATGAAAACAGTCTTAGGAGCACTCGGATCATAGCCTCCCCAAACACGCTGAGGAAAAGGGGATACCACAAGTTGAAAAAATGCTCCGCAAGAACGGTAAAGGGAAGGAATATAAAAAAAAATGGATCAAAACTATTGGAAGGAGAGGCAAAAGGAAATATTCGGAGTATGGAGAGATGGGCGAAAAATGGAAAACGTCTTTAAAGTTTTAAGAAGAGATCTCCAGGTAAACGTTGTCCCAAAATGCAACGGGGACGAAGATTTTCCCACTGGTCTCTTCATCGTTATCATGTCTCCCCGTTTACGCAAGCTTCGAAAGTCGTCGTTGATTGTGTTTTCAATTACCAGTCCGAAACACGTGATGAATTTACCGTTAAACAGTGAAATGTGAAGCACAGAAGACTTGGGACCATCTCTCGCCCACAAAGTCACTATGCAGTGCTGGCCAGTCAGCTGAGAGAGTGTGAGACAAAATTTAACTATACCTGACAAGAAAAGCTTGAAGGCGTCTGCTAAAAGCCCGTTATACTTTTCTCGTCTTGTTTTGTCTTCAGGAGGAAAAATCCTTCGGAAGTTTCCCTATAAAATCATTAAAAATAAAGTAAAAGCTTCATTTACAGAAACTATATAGAAATAACGGAGGAAAGACAGGAAAGAAGGAGAAAAAGAAAGAAAAAAAGAAAATTTCCATGTAAGCTTGCGTTACCTAGCAGAATCTATAGCTTTTGACCTTAGGAGGTCTTAAAACAGAAACGATTGCGATTTCTTTTCCGAATGAGAAGAATCATCAGCTGAAAATTTTTTCACGCACAGAACACACAGAACACACAGAACAAACACGCGAAATGTGAGACACATTACTGGCATCGGTAAAACCCACTATTCATACGGAATAAAGTATAAAAATTGCTTGCAAAAAGTATATTTTGATAACGAATATGTCTATAATCCTCTTCTCTTTTTTCAAGTAACAAATTAAAGTATTGTTTGGTCAGTACTTTACATAGCTTCATATCCGACTTGCTTTTCGAACTCGGAATAATCGTGTGTTTTTGGTGAAGTTTATTGATGAGGACACTTCGTGATGCCTAACGTACAGAGGGAATTTCATAAGCGGTCAATCTTGGACATATCTCCTCCACCCACCATATTCATGTTTTCAAATTCTTCTCGCGCCGCCTCTCTCCTTAATTGATTCAGCCTCTCTTTCTGTAATGAAAAATGATGGTGAATTAGTTTCTTTCATATTCAAATCACAGAGAAATTTTCTTGAAAATGGTTCGAACTTACGAGTTCCGTTCGACGTTTGTTTAATATCATCTTCTTCTTTTCCAGTTCCTAACAAAGGAGAACCCGCATACTCTGTTACACAGTGCATGTAGTGGCCATAGAAATTCAACAAAATGAGTTTTAAAACCTTACCGACATGGAGTACTCATTCCTCTTTGGCTGCGTTAGGAGTCTTTTCTGTGCTTCTGCCTTTTCAGCCGCCATGCCACGACGTTTGTCACTGACCCTAAAATATATTAATAACACGACAATCTTCTTACTTTTCTCTACATTTAAACTAGAAGAATTGAGCAATTCCCCAAATCAGTCACGGTAGTACATCAGAACACAATGAGCTGCGTGCCATAATCTGTGGCAGGAGTGGGTGAGTTCATTGAATGAATGGACTTCGAGCCCAACCCACCTCTCGCAAAGCACCATAAAATCGAGGGCTGTACCAACTAAGCCCTTAGGTGCAAAGCTATGCTGATCATGATTACATTCAACCATACACATCTTGATATACTACATCCTTCTTCAGAAATACTGCACCTGATATTGAGCAAATTCAGTGCATCAGTTAACACTCCTCCTTTAATTTCACTGTCAAGTTTGGTGTCCGTGCCGAAACTGGGTGATCGATTCACCTGAAGAATTTCGAAATGAAAGACCCAATCAAAAAAATTATCTTCAATTAGATTTCGTACAACCATATCAAAACTCACTAGCAGTAACTACAGACTAGACGATCAGGTGGGCACTGTTTGAAAACCTTTCCTGGGCTACAAATAGTAAGGTTTCGTGTATGCTCTGGGATTTCTCTAAATGGTCATAAACTAAATTTAACTTCATCTTAAACATTACCGTGTGGAGCCAAAGGTGGCGAAGTAAAGATCGTTTTTCAACACCAAATGTTCCTAAAATTTTCAAATTACATTCTAAAAAAGAGAAGCTTTAAGGCTGGTTTTCACTTGCGACGGAGTCGTAGTCGGAGTCGTAATCAGAAGCGTGGAGCGATACGATCTAGTGAAAATCAAACCGACGGAGTCGGAAGC